AAACATCTTTAAAAAGCTGTTGGATTTAAATCTCACTCACAAGACTACCATTTCCATTTCCATACATGTGGGCAGGTTACCTTATGATATTGTGTATTAGAACAAACACTTCTGAATGTTTCTGTGACTGGTATTGATCACTTACTGAGCAAACACTTTTCTCCATGCCTATTGTACATGTATTGAAGCACATTCTTTTGAATCCTGTGTCTTTTTCTCAGATCTGATCTGGAGGGGAATTACTACAGGAAGTCTTGAATTTATTTTCCAGAAAATTTAGAAATTGAACTGCATGAAGTGCAAAGGAGAGGCCAACGTGCTATTGAACCTGCAGGCTCCAGCTTATAAGCAGGGCTACCTTTAAAATTTGTATTTCCCCTTTTACGTAAATAATGTTTTTAATGCTATGTACTTCAAGGAACTTCTCGGAGCAGGGATCTCAGGGAAGTCCATGAAATGGGTATTACGCGTTGACCTACTTTGTGATCCAGATGGAAAGATTTGACCTTATGACCTAGAGAGATAGTAACTTGAACTATAGTGTTTTGTTTTTTTTGCAAGTGAAAAAGAGGATAAGAAAGGAGTCATCAGGTTATCGCATTGTGACGGGTGCTTTGCTTGGGGAAGGGTGATTAGGGCTTCCATTCCAGAGCATTTAGCTTCCATATAATAATTATTGTTAAGTGCATTCTTGAATGAGTGGTGTGACCTTTGACCTCTCAGGTTATCAGCATGAGTCAGGAGTCTTTGGTTGAGGTAATAGAAACCCCAAAAGGGGGGGTTGATTAGTTTGATACCCAGACCATGTCAAACCCAGGTGCGGCTGGGCCTGGGAGTTTCTTGGGCCACGGACTCAGGGCAGCACCAGTGTGCTATCATTTTCTATTAATCGCAGGGCTGGACTTCTGTCTGAATGTTGGCTCATTCTTTCAGGTTCTTCCACACCATGGAGCCACACTCTTCAGTCTGAACTAAAGATGAATGAGATACCCTTGATTTCAAACTGTAAGAATGTGACTTCCTAGCTCCTCCACTTCCATTCAGAGCCGTCAGTTCAAATTCCAAAACTGAGTCACATGCACACACACCCTCTTTTGGGTGCTGTGGCTGGCAGCCTGGCAGAACCCCAAAAAGTAAGAGAGGAGAGTTACACTAAGGGAACACAAGGGGAGGTGTTCTTACTAGGGGAAGGGCGTCAGGGACCCTGGGTAAATAAAACAGCAGATGTCCCCTCTGTTGCCTCTATTGTCTTTTTAACAGTCCTTGAGATTTCCTTTGACTAAGGAAAGGTTTGAAGTGGAAAGAAGAGAAAGAAGGGAACATCCTCTGTTCATGGTGATTTGACAGTGATATTCTCTGTTGTCAGCGTAAGTCTGAGGAGGTCAGTTCTCCAGAGGGTTGCATTGTTGTTTTATTTAGGGAACTCTCAGAATATAGTGAGACCGGTAAAGGTAGCACAGCTGAGTGTCTAGCACGTGCCAAGCACTGTGCCTGCTTTCCTGCAGCAGTGCTGTGATGAGTGTGGTCCCCCATGGGCTGTACATTCCTAGTCCGCAGCAAGGTAAGTACAAAGATTGAGAGTGTTTGGAAACTTTGATATCAATTATAAATTGCCACAGTATCCAGTTACACGATCAGTGGCTTTTTTAAAAAATATCTTTAAAATTTTTTAATTTTTCTTGTAATTATTTTTTTCCATTTTACAAAGCTAACATTTTGAAAAAGATTATAAATTGTTTTTTAAAAAAGATATTTTATACAGAAAGTTTGAGATACCCTGCTTTCTCAGTCAAAACATATAGCCCAAGGAAGCTGAGTCTTAGAAAGGTGAAGCCTGCAGGTGCACAGCGAGGAGGAGGGAGGGGAGACTAGACGAGGCAGGGTTTGAACTGGGTCCATCAAACTCCAGGGCCTGTGCTCTGGAACTCATTTTCACAAATAAGCAGAAAAACATATTTCAGAGCTAATAGAAATACTTTTTGGATTGTAAATTCTCAGTTCACGAGCCAGGAAGCAGGCCTCTCTGTGTCGCCAGCACCAAGTTTGACAGCAGGCTGTTGGGCAGGATCTTTGTAAGTGCTGGATACACGCGTCTCTCCTCTCTGTTGTCAGTGAAAATTCAGAAGGAACTGTACTCCTCCAGGTGACAACCAGCTTAGGTCAAAAGACCAAGCTTTCAATATCTTTTCCTTTGAAGGGGATGGTGTAACATTGACATGTATTCTTGCTATTCCATAGTGAACTGAATCTTTTTATCCCCCAAATTATTGAAGAATTTTTAGCCTAAAGTTTCCATTTAAAAGTTAAGCTCATTTTTTTTTCTTGTACTCCTTTCCTGAATAAATTAAGCAGAAAATGTGTCAAAAATAATTTTAAATGGATATATGTGCAACCAACATCTTCAAGTCTTGAAATAGACGGCCTTGGTACTGTTTTAAATTGCGTCCTCTTTTCCTTCCCCCACTCAGTATCAGAGAGAACAGGCTGTCAGAGAGCCAGGAAGGAAAGGCATTTCATTTTGCTCTGGTGGACGCCACATTGCCTGAGCCCACTCTGCTCCACCTGTCTGACGGGCTAAGAACCCTGGTCTCGGTGTGGCCCCGGGGTGGGAGAGGTTAGAGGCAGAGGCTGCCAGAGAATGTGTCTCTGCAGGTTCTGCTTAACATTGCCTGGCTCGCTCCTCTCAGTCTGTGAAGCCCGAATGTGTGTGCAATGAAAATCCACGCTGGGGATGCACTCCTCTCCCTGACACACAGGCCCACAGCCGGGAGCATGGCGGTGGCGGCTGCCAGCTCATTTTCTGAAGAAGCCCAGAGGAAACCGAGAAAGTATTGCCCACACCACTTGCCTGACTCAACAACAATGAACATCAAGTTCAATGAAAATAGAAGGAGGAAAAAAGCAAGAGCAGAATTGTTATCCCAGTAGCTCTGAGTCTGAGTATTTTCTACAAGAAAGCTCTGCTTTCCACTATTAACTTAAGATAAAAGAAGTATTTAAAAAAATCAACTTAATGATGTTTCTTTTCTTCTGAATTGGATGTGTTGGTTAGGCCAATTATTAGGCACTACTTGCTTGTTATTTAATGTTTCCTTCATACCCACAGGTAGAGTCATTGGTTGATAAATCCTGGAATCAAAGCTCACTTTAAGGAAGAGGCATGTAGAAGACAGTCTCCTCGGTGCCCATCTTGGGCCATGTCTCGTGGGGATCCAGGCCCCAATTCTAGTAAACAAACTTTTATTGAGCTTCTACTCTGTTAGATGGGCTGAGGAGAGAAGACCGTTCCCTGAACTCAGGAATTGGGAGGGGACACCAAATGGGTCAGAAGATGTTTGGAAGCAGCCAGTAAAGCCAATGTCCAGCTGAGCAAAGACTGCTCCACCTTGGCTCTGTGTGGCCTTGCCCCACAAGCACAGGTCCCCTGCAGGTGCTGGCGAGCATCTCCTGGCCTGACCAAGCGGTGGGGAGGGTGGGGCGCAGGGAGAGTGTCAGAGGGTTTCCTGCAGGAAGAGTCCTGGTGTCTATGTGACTTATCCCTCTGACAGTTAGGTGTGTCTGCCTCCCAGAAGCCTGTCGCTGACCGGGGGGTTACCCCAAGAATCCACCCTGTGTTGAGGGAGTAATTATAAACATAGCTGTACCCACAAAAGAAGTATATAAAATAAAGTAACACAGCACTATTGGGATCTATGCACGAGGGAGGGGATGTTCAAGACCAGGCCTTGAAAGTGGGTTTTAGCAGTGTGTGAGATTTTCTGGTTTTCCAGAGGCAGATCTGAAGTGTGGTTCTGGCTGGGTATAGTCCTGTTTATGATTACCTTCTGTCACCTTGGGAGAAGCTCTCCTTCTGTGCTTTCTTTCCTACAGATTGTAACTGTGATTTTATGAGGATATATATGAGTATGAAAACCATTTGAACTCATTCAAATTTTTGTAAATCTGAGGTGTTGCTCATCTATACAGGGACTCTGGTGCTATTAATATGAATTCATGTAAAATAAATTAATAATCAGTCACAATGCATTGCTCAATCTGGAAAACATTAGGGCAACTGAGGTCTGATCAAATTACCCAAGTCCTTTTGGCAACATAGTGGGCTTGACAAATTAGAAGCATGAAGAGAGCAGGTTGTTAAATATAAGACTTCCTATTTCCTCGAATCTTAAATAGCTCTCTTTGTCTTCAGAGGAAAAACCATCTTGCCATTCCTGATATTAAATGTTTGTTAAACAAGATCCAGTGGAAGCAGCTCTCAACCTGGGGGCTCTTTAAGCTCTGCTTTGTTGCACTGATGGCGGTTCTCTGTTCTTAGCCTATTTCTGAAACAAGGCGCTTATTCAGAATCATTCACTATTGAATTAATCATCAATGTTTGGGTTGAGAAAAGATGATAATTATATTAAGGAACAATAAAGTTCATCTACAGTGAAAATAGAGCCCATGTCGGAACTATAGATGAACCCAAACTCAGATCCTGCACTCAGACTCATTTGCACAAAGAATTATCTGTTAAAAGTGGAAGAAAGAATGACAGCATGCGACAACTCATGTTAACTAATAAACTTTTTAGATGCTGTTTCATATGTTTGCTTTTCATTAAATTCAGGAATGGTAGCGACTATGTTGTGGTGATTCAGTCAACATTTATTCCTATCTGTTTTTCGTATACAAAGGCTTAGGGATGCCAGAAAATAAACTGTTAACGGAGAATTAACTTCTTTGGCATGCTTTCATACTTATCTTCCAAATTAAAGAAAATGAAATGGGCAGAAACAGAGTGTAGATTACCTCCTTTTTGTCAAAAATGGTGGGAATTCGAAAATTAATAATAAAAAAGGGAACAGATGCAGTAACATGCCAGAGGGAGATTAATGTGGAGAGTAAAATCTGTGAGCAACAAAACTGAAGCAAACTGAATCAGTGGGAGGTGGTTGTACAATCAAAATCAGGATAAAAGAGAAATTACAAACAACCCTGCACTTGTCAAAGTAGTAGTAATGAAATCCTGACTCTGCCAGCAGTGAGAACCTGTGTTAGCACTTTGGGGTAAGGATGGTAGCCGGGTGCCAGGTAGGAGGGCAGTGTTAGGTTGCTGGGCAGCAGCCATCTTGCGTGGAACAGATGGCACCGAAAGCTGGCCGGGGAGGGGCTCCTTGCAGAACTAATCAGACAGTAACGGATAGGGCAGCTGGGAAGACTGACCACAGAGAGGGAGTCTGCGGGGAAGCTGAGTGCCACGATGTTTGCAGTGGTGTGCCCATTGGTCTGAGATAAGACCTTGCAATGTCTTTCCCGTCTGCGGAAGAACTGAAACTTTTGTTCAAAAAGAAAAATTGAGTTGAATTGTTATCACAGTTGGGGGTGGGGTGGTATCAGGGCAGAGACGGCAAAAGGAACAATTGTCCATCTCGGAATTGTGTGAGTTTTCCATCCCAGTTTCCGCAGAACTTGGATTTTTGCTGTCTGTGTGGTTCTGCCGTCCTAATGTGTACAGTGTGGCACATGGAATGATCACTTTATATATTTTATGCATGAGAGAGTTTGCAGTATCAAGGCTCTAGTTAAAACTAGAGAAGACTTTCTGATACGATTTCTACCACATGTGTCTTTCACAAATGAAAACCAAAAACAACCGTACGATACATGCATTTGTGCTTAATAATTTCTCCTAAACCTGATTTAAGTCATATTTGATTCAGAGCTGCTTGCCCTTCTTTTTTTCCCCATGTAACTGTGGCTTGAACATCAAAATGTAAGCATAATTCAGAGTCTAAAACCTTAAAACAGAAATCAAATTAAGTCATTCTGAAAGAAATGAAAGAGAAAACTGACCTGGTAAATTTAATAACTTATTAAGGAGTCATGGTTTTTTAAATATAGAGTCAGGACATTCGGGCTAAAACTATGACTTTAACAAAGAAATCCAGATCGCTTACATCTGTTTTTGAACTGGGGTATTTCTTTTTTCACAGAAGGTTTGTAGCTTGGCTCAATTTATTCATTTTGAAGGGGGAGGGGGAAACATTACCAGGATTTGAAATAGGTGGTATAACATAGCCATATGCTATTTATGCAGCAGTTTCTGCAATAAATCTAATTTGGTGCTGTCAAAAAATTAGACTTATTTGATATCGCAGCACATTAGTAAATGATTGTGGCAGATTTAAAGTTGTCACTTAGTCTCTTCTTACTCTTCCCTGAATCTCGCAAATCCGTTTTTCCCCCTTGATCAACTCAATGAAAATGTCTCAGTTCTTTGTCCTGCAGTCCTGCAGAAATTTCCACATCTGAAAGAAGGTCTTGCCTTAAGGTAACTGAGGAAGGGGGTGGAAGGATGAAATCCTCTGTTGTTAAAAGACTTCATGCAGATAGAGGCAGAAAAATCACTAAGCTAAAGAAAAATCACAGTATTTTCATCATTTGCAATTCTTAGAAAAGCAGAACTGAGTCTCATTCAGAATGTAGATAAATTAAGGTCAACTCTTTATTAAGGCGTTCAAGTATTTTACCTTCCATCCTCCGTCCACAAGCTGTTTTAGGAAAACTGACGTTAAGGAACGTGAACGCCATCCGCTTCTGGTCTTCAGCCCGACCGAGCCCTCAGAGACGGCTTCCCTGTTCTCTGGTGCAACTGGAAACACTGCTTCGAGGCCTCTTTCTTTTTTCTGTGAAATCTGTGGGTCAGGTGTTGGTATCAAACTATCTAAAACTTTTCCCTAGTTTTTTTCTATTTAAAAGATAAAATAAGCATATTACACACTGGGCAAATTAATATTAACAGTATTCTCTGAATTCCTTAAATTAGTACATTGTAAAAGTAATCCGAGTATAATTTCCCTGTTGTTTTTCTTTCCTATTTCTGTTAGGAAAAAGTATGTCTGTGTGTATGCACATTCATGCATCTGCGTGTGATTATAAGTGATGTTAAACTGAGTGGTTTTTATTTGTGTATGTTCTTATTATACAAAACTTCCAAAGCAAGCCTGCTAGTGTATCTTCCAAACGCAGTTTGCTAAGAATGAAAAGTTCCTTCCCGGTAATTTAAGCAGCCTCTATTAAACTAGCGTTTTGCTAATACTTCTGTTTTTTTTTTATAGAGCAAATCAGACCATAGAAGTGATCAAATTACCAGTATTCTTTCCATCCTTTTCAGAAACAGGGATCCAGGTAACAAACTACCATCCAGCACAGATTACACGAAAGGGAAAAAAATACCCGAACAGTGGTAACAAACTTGCTGGGTAAATTAGATGTTATTTTTGCAATTTTCTCCACATAAAAAGAAGTTATTTAGAAATTATGTTTTAGGAAGATGAAAGAGAAAGCACCTCTTAGAATTCATATTTTGTGTTCAAAATCCATCTATTAAATTACATTCAATAAATTATATACATTTTATATATAAATTATATTACATAAGAGTGATTTATAAGATATAGAGTATTTTGGAGATTAGTAATAAAATTTGAAATTAGAACTAAAAAAGAATGTCTCTGCACTTGGATTTTAAGTTTTTGTTTTTGTTTTTACTTCTATATTTAGTGTCACAATAATTTTCTTAAAGCACATCTGAAAAGTTGCTCTGATTAAGTCTTTTTTTAATAAATTATAAATATTTACTCAGTCAAGACCTATAGGAGTCAGTTTTTAAATTACATGTTTTTTAAACTTCTACTAAAAAAACCTACTTTTAATTTTATGTCAATGAAAAAAGGTTTAATTTTTATTTTTTCCAAAAAGGATTTAGAAAATTTTAGACTAGATTAATTTTACTTCATAAAAGCATATGCAATAAGATTAAACCTTGGGGTAATTCTTCCAGATTATAAAAGCAATATTATGAAACAGGTGCCTTTTAGCTTCACATTTGTAACAGTGCTTTGGTTAAAATGTATTTTCTCCTAAAAAGTGATCTGCCTTTTTCTTATACAAAACTTGAGTCAAGTCATTGGTTTGCCTTTTTCCTAAAGAATATGATTGTCTAAAATACTGGCGAATAATTCACCAGAAAGTGATTTCATGTACAATTTATGAAGGGAGGGTAAGTACTTGATAGCTATAAATTACACAGAATAGATTTTATTGAGAGTATCATTTTCACCTAACACCCATGAGCTTATTTCTTTCACAAAATTGGCCCATTGATACAGCTTACATTTCTTTAGATAAGTTATGTAATTGTTTTGTAGCATATATTGAAGTATTAATTTAAGCAGAACTTTAGTTTTTAAATGATGGTACTTAAAATATACATGAATTGATTTGTATCTCATGGGTTAAGGTTTTCAAAGCAGTAATGGAGCTGTGTGTTAATATATAGCTTATAATTGAAATGGTACATATTTGTACATTTAAAGCATTTCAGTGTAAAATTTCTTAATTGGAATACTCTTTCCCTTGGCTAATTCATTAGTGAAAATATTTATTCCTCAAGTTAATGCTATATAGTATGAAGCAATTTTTACATAGTGTAAACTTGTTTATGATATTTTGATTTCACTTTAAAACTTTTATTTTGCTTCTTATACATATAGTTCGTACTCGATATAATAAGAAGTGCAGACACACATGATGTAAATACACATCAGCTGTCTGCTTTTACAAATGATCATTAAAATACCATGTCTTACTACTTTGACTCCAAATTATTGTCTTCCCGAACCCAAAAGTAATTTTCACAAGTACATTACACAACAGAACTTCATCTTCTGCTGGTTAGCAGCAGAGGATTTAAATCCATGCCGACAGTTCATTTGACAATGACCTTGAGGGGCTTTGCTTCTTGAAGAAGAAAGCAGAAGCTTGCGGTAAACAAAGTTCACTTCTGACAGATGGATTGAATGACAGAAAGGTTGCGAGTGCCAGAATAGCCCTGGCAGAGGAGGAAATGTTCAGTGGAATCCAACAGGAGAGGAGGTGTGAACAGGTGCAGGGTTGCTGACGGAAGGGGAACCAGATGGAAGGAGCCAGAGCCAGTTTATTTAAAGGAAAAGGCAGAAAACATTGAAAGGCTGTGCGATCAGTGGCTAAAAGTGTTCATAGAGGAAGGTAAAAATTCACAAAGCAAAACTGCACAGTGGGGTAGCTAACACTTAGCATAATGGTAGTAATTTGTGAGTTTAGTTTGGAAGTTGCAACTGAAATACATTCATCTTGGCGCTTGACACCATCAAGTATAGATATTTGAAAGTTGTTTATTTTTTTAAGTTTCTAAGCTTTTTTTATCCATCCATTAATTTAATTTTTTCCAGCCAGAAGCTCCGTTGTGATAATACTAAAATCGTGTCGTCAGCTAGGAAAAGAAAAAAAATTTAAAGTTGAAGATTAACATTCCATTCAAATTTATCTTGCGATGCCTCAGTTTTGTTCACATATGGGAAGCAAATGCACGCACTGTTGGGTGACATCTGTAATATCTAAGAAATTTGCAATGTTAAAATAGATGCCGTTGGTGCTTTTGTTGTTTTAAGTCTCTGTTCATTTTGTGAAGTCCGATTTGATTGTTTCGTTTGGGATAATACTCCCTGACAAAAAGATTTGCCTGCCATGATCTGCAGGTTAATTTCTGTTGCTGAGGTCGCCCTGATTTTCGCTGACTTTCAGTGACCTGCCTGCAGGCAGACACCTGCAAACTAAGTATCATTTACAATGGGAACAGTATATAGTGGGGCGAAGAAGGAGGACTTTCTTATTTTCTTAGACCTATAACTTTTTCTCTGCAAAATAAAATGTCTTTACTAATCATCTGGCTGGTCACATCATGCATGCTGTTTATGTGGGCTCTTGTCTACCCTCCTTGTCCTTGAAAAGCTTCCTGTGTTCCATTACTGATAAAGAGAGGCCAATAGAAGAGGAGCTGTTACAAAGCAATCACCAGGAAAAACAATGAAAATGCATAATTATTTGGGGATTTTTTAAAAATCTAGTAATTTATCCACAAGAGTATCTATACACTTCTCACAAAGATCAAATACTCAGAATAAATTTAATGAGCACTGTATCCCCATTC